ACAATTGCCTTGAAAACTGCAAGGACTCGTCCAAGCAGTCACTGCAGGGTCAGCAATGACTGAGTGCAGACCAAAAAAAAAAAAAAACATTTATTAAGATAAGTACTAATACATGCCTGTAGCAACATACCTGAACCTGTAGGATGAACGTGTTTTTCAAACTTGACAACTTTAAGAGGTATGAACTCTGGGAGTTGGAGTCCACACCTCTTGAAGTTGCCAAGTTTGAAAACCGCTGGGTTAGAGGTCGCAAACCTCTTCTTCCAGCTCTCTGAATCTATACACTATTGCTTCTCTTCCTACCTCAGTGTAGCAACTTGTTAGTTCCTGCTGCCACCATATACCATCCAGGGAATTGCTTCACCTATTGTCTTACCCTGAATCCCAGCATGTGAAAGAGAGAGGTTGAAACAGAGTTGTATTTTCTCTGTGGGAAGGAAACCATCCCTCTTGTGAATGATGGGTGACATCACAACATATGTTGATGCTTTTCTAGGATTAACTAAGAATATAATCAGTTTTAAATAGTATGGACACATAAAGGAATATTCTTAGTGGCCCACTATGATGCTTTGTTCCTTCAGCAGCTACTTAACCCCAACCATAGGTATCAATCAGATAGAATCATTTAACAATATTTATTTGAGCTGGACTGGAGCCACTGGAGGACTAGGCACCAGTAATTCCCCATATTTTATTTGTTATGAGTTAGGTAGTATGTATCACTTTAATGTATTTCATCTCTCTCATATCTTTAGAGATGGAACAATCTAGAAGTGCCAGTAACAAAGCCATGATACATCATCTTAATTTGTTTTTTTAAAACACACACGCATACACACACACTTCAGGATTTATACCAGATCACTGTGAGGTTAATTCATAAAATCTGTTTGAGCAACATAATCAAAATATTATGTTTTTTTAAGTATACCCTGAATGGGTTTTCCAGCTTATGTGAACAATGAAAAGACAAAGCAGGCATTCTCTCATTATTTCCTTAAACAATTTTCAGTTGCTGTTAAGTACTTGAAGAGGTCAAGTAAGAGTGATCCTTCCAGATGTAGTGATTAATCATATTACTGGATAAAAATATCAAATCAAGGCCTATGATTATCATGGATTTTCACACTATATCTGAATGAAAATGCACAGATGGGAAAAGGAGCAAGGAATTGCATTTAGCAAATCCCAACATCCTTAATGACAACCTGGCATTGATTATCTAAATATTATTTCACTCTGTTTTAGTAAATGTTATCACTATGATGAGTTTTCTGAAGGCAACCTAATTCAAAATAGAAAGTGCTGAGTTACAGAGATAATATGCAAAGTTTTAAGCATATTAAATTAAATATAATTTAATATTTAAATTATAAATATTTTACCTCCTCTTTGACTAATGTAGAATGGTCATTCTGGAATTTTCTAAGGATGGTAGAAAATTCAATGCCCTGTATATACCTTTTAATTGGAAAAGGATGGTCAGAGGCCTGGAGCCATTTCTCTACCCTTACCAATATTAGCTAAACAGTTGTGTTCAGAAGCCGTGTTTATCCTGTAACCTGTTTCTTGTTCTAATCAACTTTTAAGAACATGGTGGGCATGTTTGTAATGGGTGTTCCTCTTAAAACTGAGTAGCTTACTATTGGTGCCATTTCCTTCAAGCCTTAGAAATACTGTCCACTAGCTCATGAGCTGTAACTTCTGCTGTGCTGTTCCATTCATGGAATTTGGTTTCAAATAATTATTTTCTGCTTAGACAATTATTCCAGAGCTATTTTGCTTAGCTATACAATGGTGCAAATTAATATGTAGAAGTTGGCATACTCAGAATCTCGGTTTTCATTTTTCAAAAAAATAAAATTTAAAAAAGTTTTAATCTTGAAGTCTAATGAAATGCATTTGCAAATTTGTGGGCCGTGGCTGGAGTGAGAAATAGGACTTTCAACACTCATGGACTGAGGCTACATGGCTATTTGTATTTGCTTTATGACTAAAGAAATTAGTGCTCCTCGCCCTTTACATTTTGCATATGATTTTTCACATAAAGCAATTGAAATTGGATGAAATTCCCTCTGAAGCCATTTTATCTTTATATTCCATGAAAATGCAAGTAGAGCTTTTATAATTCCACCCCAAACAATAAAGAATATTCAGTGGCAGTTAAATATTTTCAAATTCAACATAATCAGAAATTTTATTTATTATTCATTTCACTCATAACAGCTGCAGATAGATGGCAGTTTGTACATCAATGACAAAATATACTAAGAATACTCAGCAGACTGGAACAGCTTGTTTAAGATTTGTTGTTGTATCATTTCAGCTTCTTGTGAAAGATTTCAAAGCAACCCAAGTACTGGCATCACAAAGTTAAATGAATAAACTCAGTAGAATGTATACAAGACATGGTGATGCAAAGTTTAGCTTAGAGCCATATAATCTGTCCAGTGCTAAGAAGCACATTAATTTTGTTTAAAAATCCATAATGTGTTAAATAGCACATGATTAAATTACCTTTTCTAAAACAGTTTTAATTACTTGAATAATGGCTAGAGAAATCAACATATAAGGCTTCACTTTTACATTATGAAAGAGACAGATATTCCTGCCAATTAATGTTTAGTTAAATTCTTTTTTCCCAGATATAACAAATCCATACCATTTTAGTATGTTTATGCTTTTCATTCCTTTTAGAAATAATTCCATAGCAATACAAAAACTTGTCTTAAAAATGAAATATAACTGCTAAAATGTTTGAAAAATACACAAAAAGGCCACTTTGAATACCATAGTAAGATAAGAATTATGCCAAGTTTTTAAAAATATATTTGAACTAATTATGAAGTTCTGCCAAGTGCCTAGTCTGAACCATCTGACAGGAATATACATCTCTTCAATGGTTTCAAATGAAATAATATCTGTATGAAAATAATGTAATATTTTACGATCCGTAGTTGTAGTCAAATTATCTGGCAACTCTGACAAATAACAGGATTACTTAACTTTATCAAGTATTATCAGTGGAATCACTTTTTATAATAAAGTTGCCCAGGATAATTTGAGTTACAGTTCAAATCATCTCATATTGGTTCTGCATAGTTAGAAGTTAAGAGTTTCAATGCTTTCCCAGATTTTAAAGAGCCTTGGACTAACTTTTAGAAGGAAGCACAACACATTATTTAGCTTTTATGCTAAAGTAAATATCTGGCCATTTTGCCAAAATACATAACTCAGTCTTTCTCTTGTAAATTGGCCCACCAACACACTATGATATCTACATGACATTTAGACTTACTCTACTTCTCTGCCTTATGTTTTGTTTTTGAATGAGAATAAAGCTTATAGTGTCCATTTTAGTCTTTTTAGATATATTCAGTGTCACAATGAAAGCAATGGAAGATACATTCTTTGGATGAATTGAGGAATGATCATGAAACTTTGGTTTCCAAAGGTTTATATTCCCTTGGCAAGGTATATGTTTGTTTATTAAAAAAGCAAAATATCTGCTAAGAATGATGAGTGAAAAAAAAAACATTAAAGACTTAATTCTATCAGGTCTGTTGAGAAGTTTGTAAAATCTTCAATACAGAATACTTGGTATTTTAACCTGGGACTGCAAACATTGCACAGATGAAACAGGAGAGCATATGGCGTCCGCTTAAGATGAAATAGAATATTTGATCAGAATATGTAGAGACCAGAATATGGTGTTATGAAAGTAATGCACAAATGTTAACCATTTGGTATGTTTGAAGAATCATATCCTACCTGCACATCACTCCAACACACATCTGTGGCTGTATTTTTCCCCTTTGCATGCACGTCCTGAAACAACTGTGATAGCACTATAGCCTGAGATAAAGTTGGATGGGAAGAAAAATACCTTGTTACTAAGGTTACAATTTGCTTTGGGAATAATTTGTTAGGCACGTATGAAAGTCTTCTCCTGTGCTGTGGCCATGCTTTGGAATGTACTCTCTTGGAACTTGACACTGTTTCCTCAAGAGGCAGAATATATCATAGATTAGGCCATGGAACAATAGGGTAGGGAAAGAATGAGTAACCTGGGGCCCTTTAAGGTAGAGCATGGGGGTGGGAGCAATAAGAATAGTGTCAGGATGGGTCAGTACTGCTAATTTTAAATTCCTGCCTTCTCTTCAAAAGGAATTTGCATGTAGTTAGAGGTTTATATGCCATATGAGGTTCGTCTTATTTTGAGAATCTGCTTCTAGTTCGGGTCCATTTTTTTTTTTTTTAAAGTTAGTGCTCAAAAATATACATGCCTGTTCCCAAATAAAACAAAAAGCAAAGTGGCCTTGCATTCCTTATACATGGTGTGGTCTACCTCATTTTGGTGATAGCCGTCATCATTCATTTAAAGAGCAAGAGCCATGATTGTTAAGCCTCATTATTTTCAATGAGGCCTGACAGTTTCAAAGTTAAACAGAAGACAGCAACTTTCATCCAATGGGTATTTCTTTTCAAACATAGGCACCTCTATACTGCCTTGTCAATTGTATGGTTCCTCAAGTCTTTCTATATCCATTTATGTTTTAGGTTCTTGGATTAAGTTATTGTATTCCTTGCACTGTAATAGTTGTGTAATTCAAACAGTACTGAAATTCATTGGCAAATGTTGTTAAAGCTTCCTACTAGCCTTCATGTAGTATCAGTGGGCTTCCTTCTGATGGACTGAAGATAGTCTCCTACATGTATGCTAGTGATGAAAGCAACTAGAAGGGACAGAAAGAGTGGTGAGATCATGAGGAGGTAGGGATTAAGTGGGACATAAATGCCAAAATAGTTACCTAATTAGTCTAATATTAATCTGAATGATGATAGTCCTCTAGATTCTAGATATTTATTACCTGTTACCTGATGCCTTTAACTTTGGTATGTATTATTCTGAGTGTCATGGATTTTGCCAAAGTAAGGAGCTCAACAGGAGAAGAACCATGTTTATTGCAATGATCATTGGGTGCCTGCTTTACAAGAAACAGGGACCCTGAACAATGAGAAAGCAAAGGTTTTTATAGAAGTTGAGGGCTACAAAGCAGGAAATCTTAGGGATCTGATTGGCTGGCCAGTTTGGGGAAGCTAGGAAACTTGGTCCTTGTCAGTGTACTTGAGGTGAGTTCTTGTTTTGTTACCCAAAATTGATCTTCATCCATCAGTTGAACATCTTTTTTGGTTGACATTTTAATAGTTATGTATTCCTTTAGCTGTGCTATTCAACTTTCAGGAGAGCAGCAGAGCTGGAGAAGCCCATCGTTAAGGAGATGGAATGTTGGGGTCATCAGCTGATAGACGATGGAAGGTTGGACTTTCTCTAGGTTGCAATTTCCTTGTAAGGGTTATCCTTGGGCCATACTGTGAGCTGGTGAGGAGGCTTCTATTCTTTGGTTTAAGTGAGATTGCAGGGGAGCTTTGTCTGGGGCAGAGAGTGTCATTTTGGGTCTGATGTAAAGAGAGGAATTGGGTTTGACCCTGGACATATCTAAAAGATGGGAGAAGGGATGCAGTCTCCATTTTGTTTGTTAGGTTTATTTTTTCCATTACACTGAGGGTCATAAAGTGTTTTCTGGAAGCTCCAAGGTGATGAAACGTCAGTCAGATTCAGCAGCAAATCAGTGAGACTCAACAAGGTTTTCTATTAAACTTATTATTTTTAAAATAGATTACTTTAAAAAATAAACAATTAAATAAATAACCTGGAAAATTGCAACCCCCCACATACATATGTGATTTACTCCTACCCCTTGGTTACTTTCCCCAAGGAGGGGGGGGAATAGATATCGCCACTGAGAAGCAAAACATTGCTCATCTATTCTTTCACCAGAAGTGCTCAAGTTTAAATAGCTATAAGCACAGTCTCACCTTTACAACTTTCTTTTGCCCCTGTAATTCTTTGGGTCAAGGCAGTCATCTTCAGCACTATAGAGAATAGGAAAAATTTAATTAAATATATATTTGGCATCATATTCCGTTATTGAAAAACTCTTACATTTTCCTCATTCCCTTTTTTCTTCTACAATTATTTTTTGGATTAATAGATTTCTACCCAATTGTGTGAAAAGGAAGAGGTTTTCTGAATAATGCAATAAAAAGTACCATTGTAGGCAAGCTAGTCTCTCCTGGAAAAAGTTACAGTTTCAGTGTCTATTGTGTACCTCTGTTGTTCCAGCTTACATCATGAAAATGAGTAGGAACTATCTTTTTAGGGATAACTGTTGTAGACCTTTATTTCTCATCCTTTAGTGTTTAAAAACCCCCAGTTTGTTCACTGGGGGTGGAATTCCTTTTCATATTATATTAATGTTTCTGCTTTACTGCCAGGAATTTGATGAATGACAAATGACAAAAAGTGTTGTGTATTTAACATCCTATGCCTGATGATAGATTCATGCCCATTTTCTTCGTGTATATTTTTATGCTGCATGTTTCTGTGAAAATGAACCTTCAGAGAAAGTTGAATAGCACAGATAAAGGAATACATAGTTGTTAAAATGTCAGCCAAAAAAGATGTTCAATTGATGGATGTAGATCAGTTTCCCAATATGGTTGTTCCAGATGTATTTGGACTACAACTCTCAGCATTCCCAATCAGCATAGTACCAAGTTGGAGAAAACTGACATCAACCATCATTTTACTGCTATTCAGGATGAAATAACAAGGTTAACAGAGATCAGATATATTATTTGAAATATGATTAAAATGTTGCTCTGTTGTTTTCACTTTTGTTAACCATGCAAGCTCTTTTGATAGGTTTTCCTAGAAGGGTAGGATATTCCTGTGCTACCACCTTCAGCTCCCAAATAGTAGATAGACAGCAAAGAGTATATAACTCTTTGTAACTCTATATAACACTTATATAGCCACCCAGAGTCGCTTTGTGTGAGATGGGCGGCTATATAAATGTGAGGAAGGAAGGGAGGGAGATGCAAATTCTGGTTAATTGCTATTGTAAAATTGAACATGACAAACCTTATTTATTTATTTGTTTGTTTATTTGTTTGTTTATTTATTTGATTTCTCCACTACCCATCTCCCCCACAATAGGGGACTCTGGGCAGCGTACAAAGACATTAAAACTATAAATATATATAAAATGCATAATATATATAGAATTAAAACAATACTAATATCGCTACCGTGGTAGCATAGCATTGGTTTGAATGCAGCAATGCAGCAAAAGCCATGGTCAGAAGCTGATCAGATGCTTCTTTTATCATAGTTAATCTTTTGATCCAGCAGAGATGGTGGTGGTCTTTGTCAAATTCCTCCTTATTCTATAACTCTCTATGCTTTCTTTGGAAGATTAGAGTATCCTATGGAATGGGGAGTGGAGGAAATCTTATAGAATGTAAAAATTGAAAGGGATCTTGAAGATTGTCTAGTCAAACCCACTACCCAGTACAGGAATCCACCACTACATTTTCCCCAATAGATGTTCATCCAGCCTCTGTTTAAATGCCTCCAGGGAAGAAGAGTCCTCCAGCTCCCGAAGTAACCAGACTACTATTTCCTTGTAATCTACTTCCTTGTAATTTAAATCCATTATTTGTTGCCCTGCCTTCTGAAACAATTCTGAACAATTCTGTTCTGTCTTCTACAGGACAACCCTTCAGATACTTGAAAACAACTATCATGTCTCCCTGCAGTCTTCCTTTCTCCAAGCTAAAGACATCCAACACCTTCTTCCAATCTCTTGGATGTGACTGGTGTGGTCCTGTAGACTTAAATTCATTCGTAGTAACCAGATGTTCCATTCCTTTTCTCACTGGATGAGAGTGTGTTGTTGAGAATAGCAGAGGAAGGAGAGATTGGTAAAAAATTGCCTCTCTTCCAACCCCCAGCTTTCTTTGAGCAAAAACATTTAAGCAAAGCTTTATTCAAGAATGTTCATTGGTTGAATAAAATTGTCTAAATAAATTAACCACTGTTCACAACAGATGCTTGAATAATTTGATTTTTGACCTCCTATACAGAATTATTTAATCTACATCTTTCAGGCAAAAATGTGTATCAGCACCCAGCTATCATTGGTATTGTATTTCTCCAAATATAGCAACAGAGTTCCTCATAATTAAGTATTTCAAAGTGCCTATTTAAACATATATTTTGAGAGGGGCAAAACACTTTAAATCCACACTGAAATACATTCCAGTTTTTTCCATCACAGATTAATGCAGAAATGGATAAAAAGTGCAAATATCAGGATGGACTGATAATACATTGCTTCAGCTTTGCTCTTTCCCTCAACCCCTACTCAGTATGAAGCAGGAAAATTGAGAGTTGCAAAACAACCTTATCACTGCTTTGCTGATAGTTTGCCATGCCTGCTAAAGAAATCAAGCAATTCTCAGTCATTTCAAGTGAGATGGTTGGAAAAGCTTTCTGCCAGAGACCATGAAGAGCCATTGTCTGTTGATGCATCAAAGAGTAGATAAATGGTATAGGGTAGATTCATGTGCTTATATCATCTACATACAGTGGTACCTCGGGTTACGAATTTAATCCGTTCCGTGACTCTGGTCGCAACCCGATTTGTTCGCAACCCGAAGCAGTGGTACCTCGGGTTACGAATTTAATCCGTTCCGTGACTCTGGTCGCAACCCGATTTGTTCGCAACCCGAAGCAGTGGTACCTCGGGTTACGAATTTAATCCGTTCCGTGACTCTGGTCGCAACCCGATTTGTTCGCAACCCGAAGCAAATTTTCCCATAAGGTTCAATGTAATTACCGTTAATCCGTTCCGGCGTCTGCGGACCACGTGGCACAGGCGGAAAAACGGCCGTGGACCACGCAGCAGGGCGGAAAAATGGCCGCGGACCGCGCGGCAGGACGGAAAATGGCCGCAGACCACGTGGCATGGGCGGAAAAATGGCCGCGGACCACGTGGCACGGGCGGAAAATGACCGCGGACCACGTGTCACGGCGGAAAATGGCCGCGGATCCAGTTCGTACCCCGAGGCAGAGTTCGCAAACCGAGGTAAATTTTTGTGGCCGGAGCTGGTCGCAACCCGAAAATTTCGTAAGCAGAGGCGTTTGTAACCCGAGGTACCACTGTATTCTCCATCCTTGTACAAAAATACTCATATACATCATAAGGTAGGCAAGAGAGGTCATGCAAAGATTCTTGAAGGAACTCCTGCAGCAAAAGTGACATACTCCAGATTTAAGTGGTCAAAAGAAAATCATGTGTGTTCTTAAATATAATTGGTTATGTTACTGCATTTGGGAACATGGCCATCTGCAAGGGGAGGAAATGCTGAAATATGTGTCATGACTGCATCCGATGTTGGGGCACAAGTAGACTTGTGTCTACTTTCATCAGAAGTTGGAATACAAATATATAAACATGTCATTTACATAATAATATCACCATGGACACAATTATTGGAAAAAATATGCCTAAATCTCTGTATTTTTCAAACTATTCTTTTTAATGCAATGAATTTAGAGAACCAGTTTGGTCTAGGAGTAGGGAAACCTGAGATGGTGACTTTGGGCCAGTCACTCTCTGCCAGCCCTAGAAAGAAAGCAATGGCAAGCCACTTCCAAAAATTGTGCCAAGAAAAACTGCATGGACTTGTCAGTTATCAGGAGTCAACTGACTCAAAGGCACCTAAATAAATAAATAAATAATAATCAAGAATCAGAAAGATACTAAAAGAAAATGCAACTGCTTTTTTTCCCTATAGCCTTGTAGGCTGATTTAAGAAATGTATGGTAAGAATGGGCAGCAGGATATATAGGTATCTAAGTGTTTACAGTAGAATAATGTTCACAATCTGATAGCCTTCCAGATACGTTGGATTTCAACTTCCACCATTCCTGGTTAGAATGGTCACATCCAAAAAGTGCCAAGTTAGAGAAAACTAATGGTAGGAGGTAGAAAGAAACTGTAACAAAGGGTTTTATGTTAACCATTCAATGCCCTCCACAGAATTCTTGTTACTGAGCAGTGTAAAAGTATAAGTAACAAATACATTTGCAAATGCTGTTTTACATTATCACACACAAGAAAATGTAAGTGTACAGAAAGCATCAAATTAAAGTTCATGTATAGTTGAGGGAGAAATGAAGGCATAGCTATTTTAATAATTAGATGATCCATGTTAGAAGAATGACCACCACAGCAGCAGGGTTTTACTTACACATTCCTCTCCACATACAAATACTATGAATTTTGAAGGTGTTGCTTGTGTAATGGCATCTCTACAAGAAGCTCCACACACAAAGTGTCAGAATACTGTGTGAACCAGGAGACATGAGATCCTCAGATATTATATTTGTCACAAAGTGGAAGATGAGTTAACACCCACTTCTGACTGTGACAGAGCTGAGTTGTAGGTGAAAGGTTTCTTGCAAATTGTCTGCATTCTGCCTTGGGAGCCTGTCTCGGTTACAGTAATGCTTTGTTTCCTCTATGACCACCCCTGGGTTGTATTGGTCCAGAGCAAACACTGTCTCTTTTCAGTCAGGACATTCCTAATATTAGTTTCCTTTTCTTCCTTCCCCCTCCTCCATTCCAGATTGCAGAGGCTGGTGGACGTCCTAAGAAAGAAGATTGGAGCAGGGTCCATTAGGATGGTGATCTGATAGAAAGCTCCAGTCTAGGGAAGCATTCACATCTGGAGACCAGGCTGCTTCATTCAGTACTATGTAAACATTAAAGCTTTAACTTAGCAAACAGTTGTTAGAAGTGGGACACTCCAACGACATTCCAAGCTGAGATAAAATCAAATCATAAATGTTTAACCACTTGGCTGCTGAGATCTGAGATTTATCCAAAGGTATTTGGTCAAATTTACTTTTGTAGCAGATCTATTTTGGTACATTTAGTAAATCGTGTTGGTGTCTGTGGGTGTCTCTGTTTAATGGACAATTGTTTCTTTATGGAGTTCTTGCTTTTTATTTCTAATTTACG